GCTCTTTGGGAGAAATTCTTCAGGATGAAACAGGGATTGCGCTGGTGGAATCGACGTGTGTTTGGAGACATTTTCCAGCGAGTGAGGGATGCTGAGGACAGGGTTGATGAGGCAGAAATTGTATTTGACGGTGACCCTACACCGGAACATCGTGACATACTGCATCAGGTTCAGGCAGCTTTGAACCAGACTTTATCTATTGAGGAGGGCTTCTGGAAGCAAAGGGCTGGCTCACGTTGGGTATGTGAAGGAGATCACAATACTCGATACTTCCATGCGATGGTTCAAGGACGCCGTATCAGATCGCGTATTAGGTCCATCAGGACACAGGCATGGGAAGTCTTAGCTACTCCTGCTGATATTCAGACCTCGGCTATTGCTTTCTACCAGGATCTCTTATCTGCTCCTCCACAACCCTTGGACCACATCCGTTCTGATGTCATTCCGAGGCTGTTGACGGTGGACGATAATCTGGCACTAAATTGCCCCCCTTTGATTCTTGAGGTACGGCAGGCAGTTTTCAGTATTGATGCTGATAGTGTCGCTGGCCCGGATGGCTTCTCATCCCTATTCTTCCAAAATTGTTGGGATATTATTCAGGAGGATGTTTACAGGGCGGTATTGGACTACTTTGATGGTGGTCATCTTCCACGGGGTTTTGCTGCTACTTCTATTGTCTTGCTACCTAAGAAGGATGGTGCTTGCAGATGGACTGAATTCAGGCCAATCAGCTTATGCACTGTGTTCAATAAGATTATTACTAAACTTTTGAACACTCGGTTGAGTACACTGCTACCGCGCATTATTTCCCCTCCACAGAGTGGTTTCACCCCAGGCCGTCTGATTGGAGATAATGTTTTATTGGCTCAGGAGCTTCTCTACACTTTGGATGATAGAGTGCGAGGGGAAAACACTATGCTGAAGTTAGACAAGGCTAAAGCATATGATCGCATGGACTAGGGCTTCATTTATTCTGTATTGGAGGCATTTGGATTTGATCAGATCTGGATTGACAGAATCAGGCGGTGCGTTTCGGAGTGTCGTTTCTCCGTACTCCTAAATGGCCGCCGATGTGGTTTCTTTCCCTCCTCACGAGGACTCAGGCAGGGTGATCCTATCTTCCCATCCTTGTTCATCATTGCAGCAGACTACTTCTCACGCTTGCTCACTCAGAGGTTTCAGGAGTATCCCATTATGTGTTATCGACGTGGAGGTAGTGCTCTTGTCTCACATCTCTCATTTGCTGACGATATGATCATCTTTGCCAACGGTCAGAAACAGTCTATCAGGAGGGTCTTAGATTGCTTGGAGCACTATGAAGGAGTTTCTGGCCAATTGGTGAATAGAGACAAGAGCGGTATTATACTATCCAGATGGGCATCCACTAGTCAGATCAGACGACTAGAGATTTTGACTGGCTTCATACATCAGCAGCAGCCTTTCACTTACTTTGGTGTCCCCTTATTCAAGGGGACCAAGAGGAGCTTCCTTTATGACGACCTTATCCAGAAGATAAGCGATAGGATATCAGGTTGGGCCTCACGATTACTATCGCCTGGGGGTCGTATTACATTACTGAGGTCAGTACTTTCTTCCATACCTTTACATCTTCTTCAGATTATGCAGCCGCCCAAGGCAGTGCTGAAGAAACTTGAGAGCATCTTTGCCCAATTTCTATGGGATTCTAAGGATCAAGCACGACGTCTACATTGGAGGAGTTGGAAGGCGATTTGCCTTCCTACTGATGAGGGAGGCCTCGGCTTTAGGAGATTACAGGATGTGGTGGACACCTTCTCCATGGAGCTCTGGTGGCTGTTCCGATCTCAGAGGTCACTCTGGGCTCAGTTTTTACTGGGCAAGTATTGTAAGGGGACGCACCCTTTACTTGCTGCAGTTCCCAGTTCAGCTTCCCCTACCTAGAAGAGGCTGAAATCAGTTGGACCACGGACGGATCCGCACATTGCTTGGCACCTTGGAATCGGTCAGATTTTCTTCTGGCATGATTGTTGGATGGGCGAGTCCACGTTGGCATCCCTATTCCCCCACAGACAGCACACATCTGCGAGGGTACAGGATTTTTTTGACGACACTGGATGGGATTTTGGACGGTTATTACAGGCCCTTCCTTCTCACATGGCCGAACAGGTAGGGGCGATACCGTTATGTGCAGATGCCACGGACCGAATTGTTTGGAAAATTACTTCGGATGGTGACTTTACCACCAAATCAGCATGGCAACTAGTCCGTTCGGTTCACCAGCCTCAGGACTCATATCGACTGCTGTCGAGCTCTATCTTGCCTGCCACTATTTCATTCTTCTACTGGAGACTGTGGCAGGATCTCATTCCAGTAGATGTTGTTATTCAGAGGAGAATTGGATGTCAGTTGGCTTCTCGTTGTCAGTGTTGTTCCGAGATTGAGACCATCAATCATATTTTCACGAGCAGCAGCGTCTCCGACCAGGTATGGCAGTACTTTGGAGACATCTTTCAGATACCTATGACTTCAGGGGAGGGGGTCAGACAGAGGTTCCAGAGATGGCGGTATTCTGGACAGCACATTTACCGTGGACACATTCGTATTATCATTCCTCTACTGATATTTTGGTTTCTATGGACTGAGAGGAATGATGCGAAGCATAGAGGTATTCGTATGGTGGCCAGACGTATTATTTGGAGGGTCTACCGCATGATCTCCTTTCTTCATATGGGAGGACTATTCCGAGTTGAGCATTGGCGAGGAGATGTGACACTTGCACCCTTCTTTGGAATTTCTTTGACCCGTCCTCTCCCACCACCACCTATTATGGTTGTTTGGCGCACTCCACCAGTGGGATCCTTCAAGATCAACACTGATGGATGCGTCAAAGATGGATTTGCAAGTGGTGGAGGCATCATTAGGGACTACGC